CTTTCCTTCTAAGGACATATTATTTTTTCCAAATCTCCCAGCCAGCAAAACTTACCTGAAGAACAGATATATTGAGGAACATATCCATTGGGCGCCCCTGCTTAATGGGTTAAGGGCATACTACGAGGCCCGATTGCAGCTAACAAGAAAAGAAGTCCTTTTCGTTTGTTTAAAACTGATAGTTTCGTCATGTTATCTGCAAAATTATTGAGACCTCTATCGTGAATGTAAACAACAACAGCTTTCAAGGCACGTTTATTATCGGGACTTTCGAGAAAAGGGCGCCAGATTTAATAAACGAACCTGGAAAAGAAACCTTATTCACGTACTTTTTCATCGAAGCAAGTATTAAACGCAGGTTATAAATATCCTTAAGGTCGATCGTAGATTTTGAAGATGTTTATGCTGTGTTTCCAGGTGAAGATGGTATATTAATTCTATGCATCGTTTTGATCTCGTAATACCTATTCTTGCTCGGCTCCTCAGTTATCCGCGGTGAGTTGGATCGGCGCCGAGGAAGATCTTTCACATGAGATTTGCAAACAAACTTCAAAAAACGAGCCAGAACGAAGCCCTTTTGGGGGGCCGGTACGAATCTCTATTCTAAAAAAAATCCGAACCCTCAGTTTCAAGTACTAACGAGGAAGCCATTTCTTCGCTATAGCATTGGCGCTGATGGTGTGTTCTGCTGTAGTGCTTTAGATCTAAGTTGCTACAAGAGGAGGTGGGATGACAGGCTCTCTAGCCACTAAATCTAAATTCTTGCCGTTTATCACCACTTATCTACCTTGCTCCGTCGCTTCTCTAAGGTCACGCCGCTTGTATATTAATTAAAACTAACAGGGCGTCATTGATATAGTATTGTGTTGAACTGACCGTGCACCTGAGCTTTTTATCCCTTATCAAAAAAAGTAATTTGATTGGCTTATAGTAAAAAGTGTCAATTATCCCAAGAATGAAAGATAAACGTTGAGTGGGTGTTATTTATTAAGATCACTTACGAGGTGAGTTCCAACGTATCCTTGTAACAGTGCAAGTGAAAGCGGAAGCACAGCGCCAGCAAATTTTGCATCCAGTCATTCCTAGAATAATTATATGATGAGTGCGTTGGGCTACAAGGTTTTTTATTACGTAGTTTTGATTTTTTATCATCTATGCGACATTGGCATCAACTGGACGACCTTCACCTGCTTCTTCACTGGAACCTTCGCTGGAGCCCCAATCAACACTACTTTCCTTCCTTTAAAGATTCTGTTGTCTGTCCCCAGTTGTGATTTCGATGAAGAAAGCTCACCATTGGACGGTCCATTTGTTACATCGGCATGTGGAAGTTTCATCAATGCCACTGTCTTCAAAGGCCTCCCTTTGCTGTATCCAGCTGCCTTCACTTTTACTCTCTGGACTGTGTTCGGCTTAACCATGATTGTTGTGTATGGCTATTATTTTAAATTTCATTGCAATTGCATTGATAACGGTTGCACAGTTTCAAAGCATCGATGTTACGAGGACGTCAACAAAAATGTTGTCTCAAGGGAATTGCGGATCTCGCTCACGGAATTAGTCTTCAAGGAAGCTATTAAAAGCGGTTTTTTGTTTTGGTTATGCAAGTCTGGTCCCATTTCGTCACGACCCACTTTGTGTTCCACAACCTTTTGGATTGCAGTCTGTAGTGTTATGGCCCACGTGAAACTCACCATTTGCTTCGTTACAAAGCTGTGTAAATGTGGTGAAGGGGAAACAAAACCACATGGACGTCCCAAGAAGTTGGCCTGCGTCATTGGGATACTAGGCTCAGTGGTGTGTCTGTGTTTCATCTTCACGTATTTAAACCGTACCTTCAGTGCTTAAAAAGAGTCCTACCAAACATGTCTACTTAGCTAATGGCAAGCAACAGGAGTAAGAATAGGGACAGAGCAAGAATAAATTCGATAGCACTCTCTTTTCACATAATACTATGAAAAGTTACTAGGTTGTATAGAAATTTAGCAACTATCAGGGGCACCCAACGAGAATATAGTTCAAAACCACTTAAACATAGCATTGTTGAACGTATTTTAGTTTTGAAACGCGTACAGTAGAAATAGCCATCTGTTCGGATTT